CATGCATGAAAAACCATTCAGGTGAGGAGATAAACTGCATTACTCTTCACATCACATCTACTGCGTCACATGACATTTTCATTCACTTCTATTCTCAAAAAGCCAAACAAAAACATCAAGCACAATGCCTTGGGCGATTTGAACAAGAAAGTCAAATCTCTTCCGGCCCATGTCACCTGTGACATTATCACACGAAAGTTTGCAAAAAAACAATGTTTACAATGCTCAATTTAACTAATAACCAAATATAATCTCACAGCTGCACATCCGACTCCATACCAACACCACAATGCTGACAATTTTCCCTCCACGCTTGAAAGCCATTAACATGACCGCTGAAATGGTCCCTGCTAATACTGCTTTAATGTTTCCGCTTTAAACCAGTTCAAAGCAACTAGGTCGACATGAGCAACAACACAGAAACACTAGGAGCATATTGATTTCTCCAATTCTTCATACAGTCCTTTTTACTCCATTAATAAATAGTTTTACATTCAGGTGAGGAGATAAACATGCATTACTCTTCACATCACATCTACTGCGTCACATGACATTTTCATTCACTTCTATTCTCAAAAAGCCAAACAAAAACATCAAGCACAATGCCTTGGGCGATTTGAAAAAGAAAGTCAAATCTCTTCCGGCCCATGTCACCTGTGACATTATCACACGAAAGTTTGCAAAAAAACAATGTTTACAATGCTCAATTTAACTAATAACCAAATATAATCTCACAGCTGCACATCCGACTCCATACCAACACCACAATGCTGACAATTTTCCCTCCACGCTTGAAAGCCATTAACATGACCGCTGAAATGGTCCCTGCTAATACTGCTTTAATGTTTCCGCTTTAAACCAGTTCAAAGCAACTAGGTCGACATGAGCAACAACACAGAAACACTAGGAGCATATTGATTTCTCCAATTCTTCATACAGTCCTTTTTACTCCATTAATAAATAGTTTTTCCATGCATTTCCATGACAAAATAAAAAATGTGACATGACATGTGGCCAAGTATGGTGACCAATACTCGGAATTAGTGCTCTGCATTTATCCCATCCAAAGTGCACACACACACAGCAGTGAACACACACACCGGGAACACGCACCCAGAGCAGTGGTCAGCCATTTTTTGCTGCGGCGCCCGGGGAGCAGTTGCGGGTTCGGTGCCTTGCTCAAGGACACCTCAGTCGTGGTATTGAAGGTGGAAGAGAGCGCTGTACATTCACTCCCCCCACCCACAATCCCTGCCGGTACAAGACTCAAACCCGCAACCTTTGGGTTACGAGTCCGACTTTCTAACCATTAGGCCACGACTTCCCCCAAAAAGGTAACAGACTTCAGAATTTTTTTCTCGCAGTTACAAGTCTATATCTCTATAACTTTTCTTCATCTCACAATTGCAAAATGGAAACTCTATCTTTATGTATTTATATCTTACAATTCCAACTTTTTGTTGTAAATCTGACATTTTTTCCCCAGAAGTGCAACAAAAACTCATAATTGTGAGATATTAATATGCAAGGATAGAGCTTACATCTCAAAATTCTTAAAAAAAAAACAATTCAATTGTGAGAATTGTGAGATATAAACTCAGAATTGTGAGTAAAAATGACCTGTTTTATATTTATATTCCATGTAATTCAGCTTAGCCATGACGGGAATAATAGTTGTTTTAAATTGCAGTAATATGTCACAGTAATACTGTTTTTACTATATTTTTTATTAAATAAATGCAGTCTTGGTTAGTATAGGAATTATATAAATATAATCTACCATCTAAATGATTTGTGCATGTTTTCATATTTTTAAAACTATAATACTGAATGTTCTTCACAAAGGTTTCACTCCAAAAAAAAAAAAAGTGGTGTAAGATATGTTGGGTAAACGATAAATTATGAAAATGAAACCTAGCAGTAAGGTGCATTAATATATGAGATAATGTCATACGATGTTGTAAGTACGACTTGCCGAAAATAAAATCTATAGATAAAATACTTAAAGCATATCTCAATGCTAGTTTAAACATTTAACCTAGATAAATGTGAGCTCTTAGGAGCATATCCAATCGTTTGTGCGGAGAGTGGAAGCTGAAGCGCGCTTCAGGACATAGGTGGAAACAAATTAAATGCGCTGCCATTTTTGCTCATACCGGTAAGAATAATACATTGTTCGGAACTGTAAAGGGTCTATTTGTGTGCACTCACAATATCAACAAAACGTTGTGCTTTTGTCTAATAAAGAAAACAAATAGCATGCACTTGCCGTCTCGGTGTTGAACAGGAGCGCTTCACAAAAATTAACCAATAACGAATATTTTCCTTACAGATGATGAATACATCTATAGAAAGCTTTAAATGACCACAAAACGAAATGAGGTCAAATCCAAAAAAACATTATGCAATCCGTAAAGAAGCATTTCTTTTCGCGTCCATGATGAGATGGCAAGTCAGGATCATCAATTTCATCTTTGCGACACTGACTCAGAAAACACTAGTTAATTAATAAATAATTCAAAAATCTTCTTATTAGTTTCCCCCAACATATTCATGGTAACTTTTGCGGCAAGTTTTAGCCTATTTAGTGTGCTCACGTCATGTTGCTGTGCGCCATGGTCACAAAAAAAATCATAATTTGCATGCATTTTTAAGCATTGTGGTTTAAAAACAAGTGATTTAAGCCATTGAAACGCAAACAACAGCACTACATGCGCGAGGTGTATGTTTCTGAGTGCAATTTCTGCAATTGGGTCGGATCGAGGTCGGGTCATATTCGCACCTTAAACGAACCGTACCAGAGTTTGTTTGGAAACGGACCGAGACCACCTCTTCAGCTAGGTCTCGGTACGGTTGTTTGGTCCGCACCCGAGTGCGATTGCTGTATTCACACCTGCCAAAAAGGTCCGCACCAAGAGGGGAACTTGAGTTTGATTCAATCGAACCAAAGAAGACAGGTGTGAATACACCCTAAGATTAATAGGCTGCTCATATAAGTGAAAGCTGTGTTAACAAGATGAAGGAGTGCTCAAGACTGCCTCCTAGTGAAGAAACACTATCAGCTGCTGCTCATGTGAGATCACACCTCACATGTCAAACAGGAATGAACAACCTCAGGTTTGAAAGGAAATAAATATTTCTAAAAAGGCCTAGGCCACATGTTTAAAGGCCTAGGATGTGGCTGTTGTCATGTAAGTAGAGTGATCTGGTAGAGTGCGTGAGCCATTCACAACCATTTTTAAAAAAGAAGACATGATTTCCTTCATTTACAGATAAAGAGGCACATGTTCGTGTTCACTACCCAACCACTCTATGCGACCCACCTACTTCATACAACCAAAACACAAACCTCATTTTCAACACCCATCTAAATATCCATCGCGCGGCTGAGTCACACGCGGAAAACATTCGCTGTTGTGTTCAAGGTCCGGCTTGTTTCAGAAAAAGTGACAAAAGGTAAAAATAGACTTCTAACAATGACAAATGCTCTGTGAAGTGGCTGAACAACCTTGAGCATGAACACGCACACAAGCAAATGAGCCGTTGAAAACGCTCCTGACTTTTGACGCAAGCGGCTCAACGGCTGATGGTTTTAACTGAAAGACTGCTGGAGTTGTTTTAACGGGTTAGTTCACCCAAAATTATCCCATGTTTTACTCGCCATCAAGGCATACTGGGTGTATATGACTTACTTCTTTCAGACGAATCCAATCAGAGTTGTATTAATAATGATCCTTGCTCTTCCAAGCTTTAGAATGGGGGTAGACGGGTGTTTTTTTTTTCAACAGTCCAAAAGTAGTCAAATAAAGCGCATCCATCTATAATAAAACGTGCCTCACAAGGCTCCGGGGGGTGAATAAAGGCCTCCCGTATCGAATCGATGCGTTTTTGTAAGAAAAATATCCATATTTGAAATGTTATAAACACTTTTCGCTCACTTCCGCTCTCTGTCAAACACGCAAGCCATTCCAGCGGATGATGTAGGACGTATGCGTCACACACGCGCTTGTGAAATATGCTAGTCTCGCAAGTTTGTTAACAGGAGCAAAGGAAGCAAAGTTTCCTTACTTTACCAAAGGAAAACCAGTCTCCTCTTGGCTTACATCGAAATCCTCTGACATTTTTATTTACAAATCCTCGTTTTGTGCTTCTAAATCGTGACTGGCTTTCTTTTTTTTTCTCTCTCCGCGTTCATCACGAATCACTGGCTACATTTACATGCAACCAAATAATCCATTTGTAATCGGATTAACGGCTCAATCGGACTGAAAAACCTTCATGTAAACACCTTAATCGATCCGATTGAGCTCGATCGGAATGAAATTTCGATCGGATTGAAGGGGGTGGTTTATTCCTTTTCTAATACGATTGAGACTGCATGTAAACACTTGATCGGATTGAACCCCGAAACTGAAAGGACTGCGCATGTGCAATGATGCAGAAATAGCATAATGACGTATGCCGCGCAGAACGAGTGGTTCTTCCTTTTGAATAAAGTGTTGTATACATGCGTGTCCTGTCATTATAAAACTCTCCTTTCACTTGGCAACTGTGAAGTGGAGCAGGACAACCTCCCACCAGTCCTTGTTTTGGATTCTCATCCACAGGCAACCCGTTTTGGGCGCGGGGAGGGGCATTTTTACTGTGTGATAGCCTAAATATGAGCGGCACGGCACAGCGGTTTATATGTATATTTATCCATAAATGAATAAATATTAATTATGCTGTTAAAAACAAATAAACTGTGTAGGAGAGTGGTTATTATGTGCAAACAGTGAGAAACTCTATATTTGTGCAGTGTGCGCATGTCAAAAAAAATCAATTCCGATTTGAAGCTCACTTGGAAGAGCAAGGATCATTTTTAATATAACACCCATTGGATTCGTCTGAAAGAAGAAAGTCACATACACCTAGGATGCTTTGAGGGTGAGTAAAGCATGGGCTAATTTTTCATTTTTGGGTGAACTAACACTTTAAGGTGTTGTGTTGCAGCGGCTTACATGTGAGGCCTACGAGAGCCACGCGGATGCCGAGATCCACCATCAACGCCCATCTGGGACCACAGCGCGCCACCGCCGGCGGGATTAGGATCTCTGCTGACACGTAGAACTGCAGCGCATAAGTGATGTAGATCCCAAAAGAGTACAGCAGCTTCACGGTCTGATACAACCTACAGAACAGACAGACATTAGACACGTTTTTTTATTTATTTCTGCAGCCACTGATGTCGAACTGATCATAGAATATCAGCTAGTCTTTCTAATCAGGAGTAAATGTAAAATATGAGAAGTGCAATGACAAATGAAAGCATCATACAGGTATCGCTGATATCTTAAATAATCATGAAAGAGCATCGTCTCTGGAGTGACACATCAATCACTAAACTCACTAATAGAAACACAAGACTGACACTTCTGCGATTTTGCATCGAATCCACAGCTTCTCCTCTGCACCTGAGTTTGTCAGCAGGGAACAGAGATGTCAATGGGTGTTTCCAGAGATGTCATGTTTATTTATTTCAAAACGTAATTTATGTAATTCCTGTGATGCAAAGCTGAATTTTTAACATCATTACTCCAGTAAGACAGTAATAATTATTTTTTTCCTTTTTTGGGGTTGTTTTGACTTTTAATAGATCTGGGAAATGATGAACTGAGGAAAAATGCATTGCCATCATGTTCCCAAATAATTTTTGAGATTCTCTTTGTTAATCCATTTTTAATCTCCCTTGGGGAAGATGGGTAATGGGACTCTGACAAGTGTTTCTCAAGTTCGTAGTGCACTGATATTAGACTCATGTCAATCCTAAAATTCAGAATAGATTTTGTGTATTATGTTTTTGTAATGTTTTGTATAATTTCAGTTTCAGGATGCTTTTTCATAATCATCATAAACAAAATATAAATAAATAAAGTGGGACTAGAACACAAAAAACATTAAAGGGGACCTATTATGCAAAAATCACTTTTATAAGGTGTTTGAACACAGTTGTGTGGCCGCGTCAATGTTGAAAGCAACTGTGCTGCTTCATATTTCTGTGCAAACCATACTTTTTTTCAGGATTTACTGATGAATGGAGAGTTGAATAGAATGGCATTTATTTGAAATATTTGTAAAATTATAAGTCTTTACTGTTCCTTTTTAACAAATTTAATGCATCCTTGATATATAAAAGATTTAATTTCTTTTTTTCTTAAAAAAAAAGAAAAAGTTAGACAGTCATTATCTTAAATATTTCTTATTAATTATACACCGTAAACAAAATGGTTATATTCCCTGATAAAATAATTATATAATAGAAATCCCATATTTACAAAGTCTCACATTTTTGGGACACACTGTATAAATCAGATTGTAAACAATTTTCGGAGCACAAATGTTATACAAATTGAAATCATGTCTTTAAATCACAGTATATATTTACAGTGATTGTATGATGTGCAAGATGCATTTAGAGGATACATTTTATGTCCTTTGGCAGCTCTGCAAGCATTTTTGAAACCCTTGACTCTTTACAAAAAAAACAACAAATCAATTTGCAATCTTTAGCCAGCAGTTTCCACCATTTAATTATTGCATACAAACGTCTTAAAAATTGTGGTTTCATTAAATATATAATATCATCAAATGAACTTTTAACGTTTCACAGGGAACGTTTCATACCACAGATTATAATAACATCTATGTACAGTATGTGTGCTATCATGTGCAAGATGTGAAACAGTGAAGTGAGATCAGGTGCTGAACGAGTCATGTGACAAATGGTTAAAGATTATGGTGAGAACAGCACAAACACAAGTCAACTTTAACATAGTGCTGAATTTAAAAACTGCCCTGTAAGCAGTGAAACACAGACGTTCAGTTACTGTACCTTCCCCACAAAGAGTGTCTGCTCAGCCACGACACGTTCTCCATGCCATACTCCACTGCATCTCCGTAAGAAAGAAAGGGCTTGCCCATCCTTAATACAGACAACATTTCATTTAGAAAAATAGAAAGAAATGTGTGTGATTTAACTGTCATGCAGCCAACTGCATGACAGACACACAAGTATTTTCCCTACTTATTACTTCCTACTAAAAATGTACCTGAAAAAACACATAAATGTAATTATTAGACCATACACCCTTAAAAATAAAGGTGCTTCACGATGCCATAGAAGAACCATTTTTGGTTCCACAAAGAACCATTTAGTCAAAGGTTCTTTAAAGAACCTTTGACTAAATGGTTCTTTGTGGAACCAAAAATGGTTCTTCTATGGCATCGCTTGAAGAACCTTTTGAAGCACCTTTATTTTTAAGAGTGTAGATAGATCGATAGATAGATCGATAGATAGACAGACAAAAGAAAACTACACTCAAACCTACAAAGCAGATGTCAGGTATCAAAACACTTGTCAAGAACATGAGGGGCAGTATTTCTAAAAATCATGTTTATTCTTACTTTGCACTTAGATGATGTGCACATTTCACAAGGAGGTTCATGCAATGTACAGCCACGATTCCCAAAGCCAGAAGACTTAAAGGCCCCACCTGCAGAATGAGAAGAGACGGAGAGTAACAAGCTATTGATAAATCATGTTTAATCAACTAGAACATTGGGGCAAAGGTTAATTTCAAATACAGCCCACCAGGAACGGTCTGAGGTTTAGTACCTTAACATGGCACTCAACATGTTAACACAGTTGGTCATGGCTCTTCTACTGATTTCAACTGATCTCATTTAAAATGTCATTTATTCCTGTGAACAAAGCTGAATTTTCAGCATCATTACTCCACAGTCTTCAGTGTCACACGATCCTTCAGAAATCATTCGAATATGTTAATTTGTCTGATTATTTTCAATGTTGAAAACAGCTGTGCTGCTTAATATTTTTTGTGGAAATTGATTTTTAGGATCACTTGATAAACAGGAAGTTTAAAAGAATAGCATTTATTTGAAATGTAACATTTTTACAACATTATGAATGTCGTTACTGACAGGTTATTGCATTTCCAATTTGTGAGGAAGGGTTTTATAAGACAATGAATTGTAACAATGGGGTGCAACTACATCTGTAACTGCACAAAGCAACTGACAAAAAGGTCAAAGCATAATATTCAAGTCTGGCAGTGAAGCAGAAAGCATCCTTCAGGGACGTGTCCACACGTCTGGCATCTTTGATCCGGTGGAAACACTTGTCAGATTGTGTCTTGTTGTTCCTGTGTCCTCAACTGATGCTGAGAGGTTTTAGAGGTCTTCAGAGGCTGAAAACACGGCTCAGCAGTGCAATGACACAAGCACTCTTTAATGGTGCAGCTGTGTCATACACGCAGAGAGAAGTCAAAGAAAGAGGCAAAGAAGACCACAAAAAAACTGTCAGATGCTAGTGATTAAGTCTTTAAACATAACCATAACCTTTAGTTTCAAACTTAGTTTGTGCTATGGACATGAATGAGGCCTCAGATAAAGCAGACTGTTGAGAAAGGGTACACTATTACTCTTCCATTCGATCAAAGCCCTGATTTGATTTGGTGCATAAGATGGAAAGCAAAAAAATCTAAATGAACTTTTGTTCAAAAGTTTGGGGTCAGTAAGATATATTTTTTTAAGAAACATACATTATCCAGCAAGAAGGACACACTGATTTGATCTGAAGTTACAATAAAAACATTTAGAATGTCACAAAATATTTCTATTTCAAATCAATGCTGTTCTTTTGAACTTTATATCCATTAAAGAACCCCAGAAAAAAAGTAGCATGGTTGAGCAGCAAATTAGCATATGAGAATGATTTCTGAAGGATCATGTGACACTGAAGACTGGAGTAATGATGCTGAAAATTCAGCTTTGAAGGATAGTTAAATATATGAGTGTCACAGCAAAGGGTCTGAATACTTAGGACCATGTGATGTTTCAGTTTTTCTTTTTTAATAAATCTGCAAAAATGTCAACAATTCTGTGTTTTTCTGTCAATATGGGGTGCTGTGTGTACATTAATGAGGAAGAAAAATTAACTTAAATGATTTTAGCAAATGGCTGCAATATAACAGAGTGAAAAATGTAAGGGGGTCTGAATACTTTCCGTACCCACTGTATATATATATAAAAAAAAAAAGTCATTTTAAATAGTAATAATATTACACAATTTTACTGTTTTTATTGTATTTTTGATCAATAAAACTTGTTTATAAAAACATAGCCCTAAACATTTGAGATGGCAGGAAAAAAATCTTGTGAACAGAAAATGAAATATTACATTAAAGATGTAAAATAAATGTTATTAATTAACTGTCCTTTTTTTGTTTCTTTAAACTCTGCAACAAGCCAACATTTTTATTTGCTCAACAATTTGACTTGCATTGCCTCTTCTTAAACCAAAAGGTGCGCTAGGTGTGGACATTTTTAAAAATAATAAGACTTGCGAGAAACGTGAGAGAAATGAAAATGAAAGGCTGACATGATGTTGACATTAGTAGATCATGTTCAGATAAATACATACAGCTGCCACAACGACACAACAACAAGAGAAAGCTCAGAGAGAAGCGTGCGTGCAACTATACACATTTTACTACGATGATATACGATTTTATAAAAGGCAACCAGAACACAAGGTCAGAACAGTTCAAAATATAATATGAGCATTCATCTCCAAATTAAATTTTCTGTCCTACCACGAGTCCTGCATTCTTGACAGCCAGAGGCAAGCCGAGGAGTCCCGTACCAATATTTCCTTTAAGTAAATGAATTATAGTCTGAGAAAACCTAAACAAAAAAACAAATGAACACAAAATTAAAACAAGTCTAAGAGCATGAAAGTTATAATAGGTGAAGATGACAGTGCTTACGAGGATCCTGTTCTTCCTCCGATTCGTTCATATTCTGTCTGTCGTAGGGAAGCGGGTGAATGGATGGGCTCATCTTCAGCGGGGCTCTCATCTCTCCTAGAAAGGTCTGGGCCTTGAACCAACACACAAATATAGCTTTAAAGGTCACATATTTTTCACCTTTCTGGAGTTTTATTTTAGGTTTTGATGTCCTTAAGAATATATATTTGCGGTATAGGAGCTCTGCTGAGAACAGGTCAATTTTGGCCTGTCTAATTAATATTCATGAGCCTCTCTTCTGATTGGCCTGTTGTTTTCTGAGTGACGCACGGCCAGGCCAACCACAGGTAACTAGGGTCAGCCGAATTCACAGCACTAGCTGGAGGCAGCAAAACAAGGGGGAAACTGGAGGCGGCCCATTCAAACCAGCGCAGGTTCAGCTACATAAGGAGTTTAAAATATCATCTTGGCACGTAAGATGTGATCGTCCATCCTTTGAGTGAGAGTGTAACGTTACAGGTCGGCCGATCTGGTTTAGAGGTTAAAGTGAACCTTTTCGACATGTTTCCGTGTTGTTGTTGCTCAGCAATGGCATGGACGCGATGTTGTCTGGGGGTTTGGCAAAAGGAGAGTGGGACGGTGGGCAGTGCTCGGGGTGGTGACTCTGTAGTTCTGACGTCAACTTTTTACGGAAGTCACAGCGGTTCATGAAATCACAGCTACTTTATGCAGGCTGTGTGCGGATTTTACCGTGGACTGACTGTTTTGAAATTTATATGGTAGTTACATAGCACCTAGACCTCAGTTATAATGAAAAAAGCCAGGAAATTTCAGTTTTGACAATATGGGACTCACAGCTACTTTATGCAGGCTGTGTGCTGATTTTACTGTGGACTGACTGTTTTGAAATTTATATGGTAGTTACATAGCACCTAGACCTCAGTTATAATGAAAAAAGCCAGGAAATTTCAGTTTTGACAATATGGGACCTTTAACATAGGGCTGCACGATTATGACAAAAATCATAATTGTCGATTAATCCCTTGAAATTGCAATTGCGATTATTAATTATGATTATCACAATTTACATTGAATGATGTTTATACCATTGTTTGATGCAACTGCATGCCGTATTTTTATATGAAAATAAACAAGCTGGAAACACTCTAATTGAAAAACCTTTAGTGCTTTTCTATAGCATCAAGCCTCAAATGTCAAATATACATCGGATTGGTTTCTTCTTTAAGTTATAAAAAAGTAAAAATATGAATGGTATTATAATGTTATACTAAAACAATAGAAAAACCCTTAAGATAACATGTAGAAAGAAAAAAACATCTTAAGCGTGCAGAATAACATAAGTGGACTTTGAACGATTAATTGCCGCTTTGAACGATTACGTAAATGTGACATCCATAATTGTAATTGCGATTAGAAATTCGATTAATAGTGCAGCCCTACTTTAACATGATCTTAAACACTGAACAAAAAAAACACATATGCTACCCCTCAAACGTTTGGGGTGTGTAAGATTTCTTAATGTTAACAAAAGAAGTCTCTTACGGTCATCAAAGCTGCATTTATTTGATCACAAATACACTAAAAACAGTGAAATATTATTACAATTTCAAATAGCTGATTTCTATTGGAATATATTTTAAAATGTAATTTATTCCTATGATGGTAAAGTCTTCAGTGCAGGGTTATTAGAGGTAAGGAAGGAAGGAAGGAAATTCAAATAATAATAAATAAAAAAATAGTATGCCAATGATACTAAAACAAGAACCCAGCTTCAGTGTCACATGATCCTGCAGAAATCATTCTAATATACTATTTGCAGCTCAAGAAATATTTATTATTATCAGTTCTGAAAATAGTTGCACAGTTTAATAAATTCTGGACACTTTGATGAATTGAAAGTTCAAAAGAACAGCATTTATTTGAAACAGAAAAGTTTTGCAACATTATAAATATCATTATAGTTATATAATTATAACCTATATTATAAATATCTTTACTATCACTTTTGATCAATTTAATGTGTCCTTTGCTGAATAAAAGTTCAGTTTGTTTTTTTTAAGCTTAGTCACAAAAAAAGTAAAATAAAATAAATAAATAAAGATCACAATCAGTGTCACATAATGCAAAGGAAATTGGTTTACCATCCTGATAGTTGATATCAGAGGCCATGCTTGCTTTGGTGGGGTGTAATCTGCCACTGATAGCTTCACTGATCAAAAGCTTCCCTGCGGAGACCGCTGCATCTACAGGCTCTGTGATCACAGACAAATGAACATATATATATATATATATAGTTATATTTAATTGTATTTTATTTCAATTTATTATTTCATTTTATGCCGCAGTGGGCGCTTCAAAATAAGGGAGCGTCTAAAAATGTAGTATTATGTGTGTACTGTTTAAAACGCTTGTCCATTTCTCCAGAAATAACTCATTGACTCGTAAAACAAACATGACAACTAGTATAGCACAGTCTCTCACAGTATTTGCACTTTGAGCGGATATATGTATGCATACTTAAGGCTGATTTATACTTTTGCGTCGGACCTACGCTGTAGGCTATGCGTCAGTTTTCATTTATACTCCTGCGTCGTTGTCCGCGTCGATGTGCAGTACTCATGCAAACCGCTAGTCTGCAGTGTCCACGGGCATGTTGCTGGTGTAACCCGCAGTACCACGGCAAAAGCCGAAGAAGAAACAGGCTCGTCGGAGAAGCATTATAGCCGTGACGCCGGCAAATAAATATCAAATCATTAAATCATTATTTAAAACTACAAAAAGGAGACAACAACGGAACAGGAGATGATGGCATTCTTTCAATCTGCACAATGACTTGTACTACGGCAGATCAACATTGTTTGTTGCGGACAACTACTGATGTATAATGCTGTGTAGTATAATAAATGATAAGACCGAGCGGCAACCTCCCGCTCTCTCTCGTGAAGCCAACACGGAAGTGACTTAAACTGTAATTCATCGACTGGCCGCTAGAGGCTGGCTGCAAAACGGAGTCAGTCCCATAGACTCCCCATGTTAAAATGCCCAACTTTACAGCAGAAAAAAACATGTTTACAGCCTGGTTCAAAAAATGATTTTGGTCTATATAGCTAATTTTGCCCTTCATGACAACTGTTAGCGGGGTGAATTTTTTTATAACTCATCCGTTTAAATTATATTAAGCCTTAAAGTTCTGCATAATTAAGGGCGTGGCCACTTGAGTGACAGGTGGATTGTCGCTGCTGTCGAGCTAGGTGGGCGTGGTCTCAGCAACCAGCTCCCGCCTCTTTGCCCATTTTCGATTATCCGAGAGTGACGCGCTGCCAAGATGGCGACGGCTGGCTCCGCCTACTTTAGGCGTATGGGTGTGCGTCTATGCGTAAGCTACGACGTAAGTCCGACGCAGAAGTATCCACCTTTTTCTTCAACGCGGAAGTAAGCCTATGGCTGAGACTTCCGGTTCATTAGCCGCTACAGGTAAATAACGAGGAGAATAACAACGTGCAGTAAACGGTAAAACTGTTTGCACTACAAACCAGTGTGTTCATAATTAAGATAATACATTAAAATAATATGATAAGACACACCAACTTTCAATACCAAGCAGCAAAACCAACTGTTTTGCTCAGCTAAAAATAGCTAGACGCAGATGAGACCGGAAGCCAGACCGGAAGTCAGACCCATATAATTTACAAATGGCCGCGCCCATTTTTACGACAAGAAAAAGGTGGATAAATCAGCCTTCAGTGGTTCAAACGTACGCTTTGTAAGAAAATAGTAGTAATTTAGTGATGATCCCTAAACTAAACAGTGCGTCGTTTGCCTCTGACTGTACAGCAACAGTCCAGCAGCAAAAGCGAGTCTTTAGACTTGAGCTTGCAGCGACAATCTGATCGATCATGACGGTAATTTCACATTTAATTTAAAATTTAACTCGGAAAGATCTGTTTATTTGTTGCTTCCTGATTTGTGGACATTCAAAATCACTTTTTATCTGGCATAACTCCTCTTAGCTTTGTAGCTAGCTGGAGATTGATTCTCTTATAGAGCTGAATCAAAGATGTTTTCTTTTCTCCTGACAGACTCACCAGTTTTTTGTGGACATGACATGTGAGGGATGCTCTGGGGCTGTCACTCGAGTGCTTAAAAAGCTGGGTATGCTTTTGAATATTTCCGATTTCAAGCAGTCTTCTGCTGTAAGACCACTGGACTGTTTATTTATCGGCCTACACTATTTCAAACATTAAAGTGAAACTACTTTGGCTGAATATATCAAAATACAGCTTCATTTCTTTCTTGTTTTAGTAGCTGCTTTGTCATGTGGGAACAGTTCATATTAGGGATGTAACGGTATGAAAAGTTCTTATCACGATTATAGTGACCAAGATAATCACGGTTATCAGTATTATCACGGTATTGTTAAAATGTGCTGGAAATGTTCAAAAAGTACTGACACAAATCATTTCACCAAGTTTTAAATTTAAAATCAACAAACAACAAATAAAATGAGTTTTTGTTTGCATAACTAAAACAATAACATTACCAATGATGTCCGGATTTTAAATGACAACATGACTGACAACAGTTTATCTAATAGCATGTTCAAATATCTAATGCAAATGTCAGATATCGAATGTAAATGTCAAATATCTAATGTAATAACACTGTGTTTTATGCTTCAGGGCTCCAGACTCATTCTTCACACTGGTCGCTCTTTTGCGACTAACTTTCTCAGTTGGTCACACCAGCACATGATTTGGTCGCGATATTTTTATTTTTAGGGATTAATCAATGCATGCTGATGAACTTTTATCATAGTTTATAGTTATATGAAATGCGGTAGTCGCGCCAGTGCGACCGCACACAAAATTTAGTCGCACGGGCAGAAAAAATGATGGCAAAATGCGCCCATTTGGTGGCACTCTGGAGCCCTGTGCTGGACAGTATTTATTTATCCTCAGTTGTTCAAATCACGGTAATCGAATACGGTTAGTGATAATTAAAATATGAAACGGTAATACTAACCGTGGGGTATTTTATCACGATTTATCGCCAAACCGGTAATCGTTACATCCCGAGTTCATATGCATATGAACGTGTAGAATAAGTATCCCTTTTTATTTCTCCTCTTTCCTACTAGTTTCACTTCTGTTTCAGGTTTTTATAACCATTTCTTACTATGTCAGTCAGTTGTTGTTATTTCAGCATGTGTGTTTGGCTCAGTGTTATTTTTTTAGGATTACTGATAAACTAATGTAGTTTGATTTGTATTAGTTATCTATTTGAGTTTTAGTTACAGTTGTAGTAATGTTGTCATTTTATTAGTTTTTTATTATGTCTATATAGGTTTTTTTTATTAAGTTTTAGTTATTTCAGTACTTCGACATACAAAATGGAAATGAAATAATATATATATATAT